GGCCAGCGTTTTCAAAACCCCCCGTTTAGTTGCCGGGTGATGGTGAAAGCCAGCGTGTAGGTAACGGTTTGTGTGGGCAGGTTTCCAGTAAACACTGTGTCCTAGTCTGCCGTTCACTTTCCGACTCACCAGCACGTCGAGGAAAGGCAATTTTCCCTCGTTTTCCACCTTCTTCGTGAACTTAATCTTGGGGTGTGTGTTATGAAGGTGCTGAAGGAAGTCAGCTAAGGTGTGAGGATCGTGGGGCCACGCTACTGGTGTATAGTCCACGTACCGAAGCCATAAGGTTGGTTTTAGATGGGCATTCTCCAGGGCTTCCATGAAAAGGCTAGACACAACCGGAGAGAGAGGGGAACCCATAGCCTCTCCTTCAACTTGAGCGTATAGTTGCTCACGCTACTGGAAGAAAGTGGACGTGAGACAGAACTAAGTTAAGTCAGCCCATTCCGGAGTGAGCCCACGGGAGCAAAGTTTACTGCGAATGACAGTAGCCTCCTTGTCCACAGGAACCATTGTGAACAAAGACGTGACATCGAAGCTGACAAGGATGTCCGAGACATTTACACGATGCTCCTTAAGTATGTCAATAAGGTGGACCGAATTCCTAACAGCTGACTTGATGTCGTCAGTCAAAGGCTGCAATTTGTCGGCCACATAGCGGGCGAGAGGGTGGGTGGGAGAGTTAATAGCACTCACAAAGGGGCGCAGTGGCACGTCGGGTTTATTTATCTTTGGGAGACCATAAAGCCTAGGGGTACAGTGGTTGCCACGTTTAAGCCCGTTTAGCACGTTACCACGTTAAGCACGTTTAAGTTTATGTTTGGCCTCCGGCTCTATAGCAGCCGAGTTATCTACGCACGCGACCTCTCCCCTCATCTTCCGAACGGGGTTGCTTTTTAGGACAGTATAGGCCTAGGCTTTATGGCCAACCGGTGCTCGGGCAGAGGAAAATTGAGCCCGATTTAAACTCGTTCGCAGTTCTTCTCCGCGCATTACGCCCTGAGGAAGGTCGCAGAATGTCGACCGAAACGGCGGCACCTGCGCCGTGGACGCGGCGTCACCCGGACAGCCTAGTAAATACTTACTCTGGCTGCGGAAGCCTACGCTCTCACTAAAAACTCGCGTTTCGTGCACGGCATGTTAAAAAAGTATTTCTTTGCATGGATTTAGAACAGGTACTCTTCTCCAATCATGGCCCTATTAAATGACTTTCTGCATTATCTGGGGAATCAGGCTTCTTTTTCCAATACAAGTTTACAAAACCTTGTGTATTATATTTTTATGCAGTTGTAGAAAAATGTTCTAATTCCGAGTGTGAGGTTTCCGATTTATTTCATGGTCTCGATTGTGATTTTTGCCTGGACCTACAGCAAAAAATCTTAATCTCAGCCGTGAAAGCAGCGTTAACTTAACACACTTAATATGAAAATAAATATTATTTTTTACAGGTCATTGCTGTGTGTTTATGGACCTCAAACAAAACACGTAACGGTATTGTCAATACCCTTCGGGCCTTTGTGATTCTTTATGCCCGAGGGCTTTTTGAATACTCTATGGCCCGCCCTACTACCAACACAATACATACATTTTTATGAATTCGATTTATTAAAGTTAAGGTTCTATAAATACATGCAATAACTCTCAAATAAGTAAAATAACTCATTATAAACCATATTTTACTTAGTTGATATGAAAATTGTAATTTTGGAATGTTTCTGTGAATTTATAGTTTCCATGAGTCTTATTTCACGGTTACGTATGACCTTTTTTTTAAAAAAATATAGTGTGTGCTTCTTGAGTAACAGTACTACTAGTAGTAATAAGATATGCAAAGGAAATAACATCCTCGAAATGTTATTTTTTGAAGTTATGAAATATTCTAAATAACTTTTGGCGGTAGAGGCAAATAACCTAAAAGCACTGATTCATCAGCGCAATTCACACTGTTATAATTCAAATAACTCTCTAATACATCATAATAATTTTAATAGATTTCTAGCTATTTTCTTGGAAACCACTGTTCGTAGCTTTGCTAGCTTCTGCGAGAATTTACAGTAACTTTACAATATTCTTTAATTTTGTGCGAACAAATCAGTCGAACAACGAGTTTACAGCAGTAATTAGATACATATTCTGTATTTTTTTATCTGACGCCATAAAGACAAATGACGATTACTATGCGTCTTTTCATATTAGACGCAAGAAAAGTTATAAATGTTTTGAATTCTCATTTGATTCAGCAATAAACTAGTAAACCAAGAAGTTTTGTATGCACCATGAGCGTTTCTAGATGTTTTTGCCCCTCAGGCGATTTCCAACTCGGGCCTGACGCCTTCAGGTTTGGAAGTCACCCTCTGAGCAAAACCATCTACTTAACAATCTAGATAAATAACTATTTCTGTGAATCGAGTTCAATGCATATTCGATCTTTGTCTCATTCTAACTCAGGGGTTTTCAAACTTTTTACGTTCACGACTCCCTTGACTTAAACTAAACTTCCCGCGGCTCCTATGGTAACAAGTTTCAAATATAAGGGTAATATACTAGGGCTACTAAAGATTTAACACAGATGAGTTACAAATAACATTTAGTACTAGCGGAACCCGGCAACCGTTGTCCTGTCCTATATTTCCCTTTCTCCTTTCCTCTCAGTCTCTCTTTCTCTCTCTCCGTCTCTGTCTTTCCGCCTTTCTCTATCTCCGTCTCTGAGTATCTTTCTGTCTCTCTCTTTCTCTTTTTCTCTCTTCGCGTCTCTGGCTGTTTTTCCGTCTGTCTCTCCCTGTCCCTGTGTTTGTCTCTTTCTGTGTGTGTCACTGTCTGCCTTTTGTGTCTCTGTCTCTCTCCAACTCTTTCTGTCTGTCTCTGTTTGGTTATCTCTCCACTTCTGTCTGTCTCTGACTCTATCTGCCTTTATCTATGACTATCTCTGTCTGCCTCTGCCTGTCTCTCTGTTTGTGTCTGTCTCTCTCCATGTCTGTGTCACTCTATCTCTTTCTGTTCGTGTCTCTGTCACTCTTACGAGTGTCGGTGTCCTGACTTTCTCGGCCCCGCCCTGCGTCACATGGCAATGCTCAGCAACAATGAAGCCAAAGTGGAGCTCAGTTTTAATGGAAATTTTATATATATATATATATATATATATATATATATATATATATATATATATATATTGTGGCGTCACCAAATTTTATTATATTAATTTAATATTAAGATAGTTTTTTCCACGGAAAGAAAGTAGGTCGCAAGACTGGGCTGTCACAAAAAATCCTTTTCAACGAGCCAACCGCCCCCCCCCGTCGCCAGCTGCCCTGACCGCCCGCCAAATAGGGCGCTGTTCGCGGCAGACTTATTTACGACAAGCCGCCCGCTCGGCGCTCGCCCGTCGCACGCCCTTTCATCGGCTGGCGATCCGCAGGGAAGGCGTTTCCCCACCTCCCTTTGGGGAGCACCCGCGCACTTAGCGAAACAATGACCGCCTGCGTCTTGGCCCGGAGACAGATCCCGCCTGCCGGCCACTCGTCACGCGCCCGCGCAAGGAAACTCTCTGCAACACTTTCGGAAATCCCAGAGATATTGTTTATAGCTCCCCCATCGCCGGATGCCGATCACGGCGCCGAAGAATTGTTTTCGAAAACAAAGCCGCCTGAACACGTGTTTGGGCAGCTGCAAGAGATGCTTCTAGAATTAGAGAGAGAGATCGCCCTGGATAATTCCAGGAACAGTGCGTCCCGAGTGGGTGACAAAAAAATTGCGACGCAAATAGTTTTCGGCCTATGAGACATCTTCCCGTGAGTGAAGGGGCAAAGCTACGGGTCCAGAGACGTTTTCGTGAGGGGGAAATGGAAGCGAGCTCGGCCGGGAGCTGAGTTGAGAAAAACATAATTAGGGAGAAATTGTATGAGAAAAGAGGTGGCTCTTAGCTAAGACTCGGTGGAGTGAGGAACATTAATTATTTCCAGAATTAAAATCCAGAGTCAGACTTAATCGTGTTTGTGGTGTTTACAAGGAATGCCGGTCCACAGTGTAAGATAATTTTTCTTACACCGTGTCCACAGGGTAAGATAATTTCTCGTACACCAGGCTCACGATGTGATTCGATTCCATTCAGCGACGTGAACGCATAGAGCACAAATATCTATCTCTCTTACGGTCTAAGATATATCTTATACCATAATCCCTCTTCTGCGCATAAATGACGCACCTTGACGTTGAAACATATATGACACCTTGCGTTTGAAGTAAATCAGCTGTTGACGGTTTCATCCAATCGAGAGCTTGAACGCCATCATCGTGACTTCACTAATAAAGCTTTCGATTGGATGAAACCGTCAACAGCTATTTTACTTCAAAAGCAGCTCTAAATAAATCTTACTATACTTCGGCATACGGCGTGGTTAAGGGCTAAGTGCTAAAGGGTTAAGTTAATACTCTTTGATTAAGGGTATCTTTGATCTTTGTGCATACGATCATGAATTCGTGACTTGTTCGCAGCTTGTTCCTGGCTTGTTCGTGACCGTTCTCGAGAACAGTCCCTATGTTCTTTAATCAACCTAACCTTCCCATAACTCGCAGACATGCTGCCAGACGAACTTAATTAAAACAAGTTGGCGGTTTATTGTAGTAAGATGTAATATGGAAATATTTACGAATATGATGCATCCTGTTTATGTGGGATATTTAAATACATAAGTGTTCAATGGAGTTTACTGATTGATTACGTCAAGAAGTTTCATTTGGCGTATAATCTTGTATCTAGACTAGTTAATAAGAATAATAACTGAATAATGGATAACTAAGCCACATATTATGTAAATCTTGTAATTGAGTTTACACATTAAAGAGGCTTTACATACTGAATATAACCAAAAAACTTAAGAATGCCGAAGTTACATGAGTATTCTATTAGAAATATAGGAAATCACTACTGTCATAAATGGTTCAATTCTCTTTTCCATAGAGTGTTACATTATGAAATTTAAGTAATTAATTCATAAGTAAACATGTCTGAAAGTGATATAAGACCACCACCGCCACCCTTGCTAAGACAATGCATTTTAGAAGATTTTAAGGAACCAGTTGTTTTCCAAGGATTACTGTCCAATTGGAAGTTCTTATCATGGGATTTACAAGAATGGGCAAGAGTGTTAGGTGACAAATTAATGCCTTTCAGATCGGGAGTAAGAAAAGTTACTCCGGCAAGTGTTTGTGCTTTAAACTTGTTAATGATGTCACTCTTTCAACTAGTATTTTTTTGTGATTGTTATTTATGAAATAGGTTCCTCAATGGGAAAGAAGTTGTCAAACAACACATTTAACTATGAAAGAGTTTTTGGAATTAGCAGAACCCAAAGAAATAAGTTCGGGCAAAAACACTAGTAATTGGTTCTATTTCGATTATAAGTACATGCATCAATGGTTCAAAGAAAATCCTGACATACTTCAGGTTAGAATGTCTTATGTTTTGCTTATGATTTGTACAAAAATAAAAGTTACATATTGAAAATATTCTTGATTCAGGCTGTTTGTTGGGAAGATTTTGGGTTTCCTGAACAGCGCGGCGAGCAGTCAACAGTGTGGATTGGAAGTGATGGTGCTCATACACCATGTCATTTTGATACATATGGATGTAACTTGGTAGCTCAAGTGTATGGAATGTAAGTTGTGCCCTGTATTGAAGTGTGTGATTGTGTATTTAGTTTTCTAACTGTCATCTCTGAACAATTTAGGAAACAATGGATATTATTCCCTCCGAAAGCTTCTGCTTCATTGTTGCCTACCAGAGTGCCTTATGAAGAATCAAGTGTGTATAGTAAACATAATTTCTACAGTCCAGACCCTCATATTGCCAATGGTATGTGCATGTCATATTTTTACTCAAACAATTTTAACCCGGAGTCCATGCAATGAATCTGTGAGATCCTGGCATTAGACTTCTAAAAATAATTATATGATTATCTTCCAACAAATTGAGATTGCATGTATCCAACCTGTGTTTCTTTCTGAGTTATCCTGTGCCACTCACCTTACCAATTTCTTGGTCAACGGTCAACAAATTGACACCTGTCTGGCTATGCAATATCTGATAGAAACATTGTGTGCTTTTGCACCTGTGATTCAATGCTCTAAAAGGCATCTTCATAAGTCGCATTAAATGTGAGTCATCTGGAAAAAGTTTAAAGTCTTGAATCATTTCATAACGATGACCGTGATTATATCTTTGGATACTGATTCTGAAAATAATTTTGAGGACAGTGGAAAGTTATTCCAATACATATTCCATATAACAAGTTATGACTGCTCCACTTCCATAAATCATTTACAGCCTGCTGAAGTATTTTATTGTCCTCTAGGATTTTGATCTCCTTGTATAATTTCAACTCGTCAAATAAAAGTACTGGGCACACTGGTAATATAGATTTTATGTCACTGATAAATGTCAGGAACAATAATGGTCATATATTAGCCCCTTAGGATATGCCTGAATAGTTAAAGATAATTTTGAAGATGTATGATTTGTATTTTACATTTTGAACTCTATTGGATTGGTAGGATTGTGTAGACCTATGGATTTCAGTTTGCTTATTAGTACTTTGTGATTAACAGTATCAAAGACTTTTTTAAAGTCTACATATATAGAATTCACTTGAGATTGTTTTCTAATTTCTCAAGTGTAAAATGTTGGAAAACCAGTAAATTAGTTATTGTTGACCTTTTACTTCTGAATCCCTGTTGCTTGTCTATTACAATTGGGTTTAATGTAGAAGAAAGTTTTTGATACATTCCATTAATTTAGGTATGATATTATTGATATTGGTCTGTAATTTTCAATATTGGTAATGCAATTTGATTTCTGTATGGGAGTTATGAAACTTTTTCCAGACAGTTGGAAAAAAATCCTTCATGAAGAGATTTGTTAAACAGTACATGTAACATTGATGTTATATTGGCATTTAAATTTTTCAAGAACACAGAATATGCTTGAAAAATGTAAAAATTGTTTGAAGTGTTTAGAATTGCGTGTTGGTGGTATATACCTACAGAAGGGAATCTATAACATTTTCCTTCTCGGTAAATTTAATTTACAAAGTCTAGCTGTTAGAAGGCAATTTGCGATGATTGTCTTTAATTAAAATTATTATCAAACAGGATTTTGATTGTCCATATATTTTTTTACAAGTGCCATTGTCAGTTCGTTACAGTCCAGGACATATTATTCGTTATAGAACTCTTTTACTAGCATTCACTTTATTTATCCAAATTATATAAATGAATTGATTTGTTAAATGAGTTATGTGTTACATATGTCAATGATATTGATCTGACTCAATTCACTCTTTATATGGAAAAGCCATAGAGTATGTAAGTGCCATCAATTATATTGTCTTTGATGATTGAAACCTTGCTTGTGATGGAATCAGCAATTTTTACATTTTGGTATCAATGATTCAGAATTTGTTTGTTCTTTAGTTCAATAAGAAAATTTCCAAAGCAAACTAGAAATTAAGGACTTAAAATAGAAAACTTCCTATAGAACTTTTACATTTTCTTGCTGGTAGAATATTTCGTATGTGGTAAGAACCACATGGGAGGTTTTCACAAGGTGCAAATTTCATATTTCAGAAAAATACCAATATAAATAAATATTTAATACTTTTATGTGGTTAGAGTAGAATACCTAAACTTGATCATAAGTGCATTAAAAATATCAAAAAGGGTTTTACCATCCTCCTGTAATATTTTTTTTTTTTTTCACATAGGAAGTTGTCTATTGGTAATGACGATATGTAATTTACATTTAGAGGAGTTACTCTAAGAAGGGACCAGTTTGACAGCTTGGGAAACAAATGAACATTATGCGTGGCAATGACATTGCAAGAGATAATGATGAAGCCATTTACAAATGAGCTAACGGTAAACAAATATCATGACAAAATGAGTGCAAGGAGATAACTTGGAGTTATATTGCCAGCAGTAACCAAGCAGTAGCTGGCAAATTGACCCCATTTTATAGTAATCTCTCTATACTCATAAATCCTGTAATAGATGTTACCTTCTGAATTATATCTTCAAAAATAAAATAACATCCAGGATATTTGACTGCATATACTGATATCAAGTTCTGCATTGCAGGTACTCTCGGGTTAAGTTAGTTCATGTATAGTTCAAAACATAGTTATGTATAGTATAGTTCAAAACACTGTCAAAATTTATTGTACTTGAAGAACAATATATCAACAGAAATAAATGTTAATTGATGAGGTGTTGTATTGATGAAAATGTGTTGCAGGTCTTCACAAAGCTTGGATTATTACTCTCAAACCCGGGGAAGTTCTGTTTGTTCCTCATCACTGGTGGCATTACGTGGAAAATATTGGAACAGCAATAAGCATAAACACTTGGCTGCCTTTGGTTAGTCAAAAAATTTCCTTTAACTTCAACACGTTGGTGCATTTTAATCCAGTAGCTTAACGAAAAGTGTGTGTGCCTGCCCGCAAAACTTGTACCTGGGTTCCCTTTATAAAAGTGTAAGGAAACACAAGTAGTGCTAGTTCTTTAAATAATAAAAATATCCTTTATGAAATTCAAATTCATTAGTGCATGATTAATAATCAGTAGTGGAAAAATCTGCCTTTATTATTAAATGTATGTATTAAGACCGTTATAAAACCTAAATGAATTGCTTTCCTTTATTGATGTAGCTTCACTAAGCACACCTTTTATAGAGCCCATTTTTAGCCTTGTGGTGGGTACAGAGCCAGGGGGTTTGGTTTGCTAATTTGTTAGCAATTCAATAAAATCAAATTTGTTTACTGATACAATTGAAAATTACTGGATATTACTAGGGAAAGAATATTTCTAGTTTTCAAATGTTTCTAACCATATTTTGTTGATTTATCATTCAACAATTTGCAGTAAAAGTGGAGTGTAAGGAATTGTGGAGCTCAAGAAAACATGCACAGATTATACTTTTCCCCCCTACGCCACATACAGTATTTAATGCATTTTAATTACACAGATAAAACCAAAATAATACAGAAATGAATGTATTAAATATTTTGTCACAGAAACTAGACATAAGAGTATATGAACCCTAGCTAACCATTTTAAAACATTTATTAAAACAGACACTATTTTTTTTTAATAAGGTCAGAAAACTATTACAATCAGACGGGAGGTTAATTATGAAGAAATATATACAGTAGTTTTGAAGTCTTTTGACTTATAAAAGTATTTGCTGTTTTTAAGGATATGAATTCTGTGTGTGTGCTTTTTTATTTTATAAATTTATTTTATTTATTAAAAGGAAATATGTATTCTTACAGCCAAGTGACTGTGAGAGTAGACTTGAGGAATGCTTAGTGAAATTGCTTGTGTCTCAATTATCCAGAGAAGTACCTGATACTGAGATGATATTTAATCCTAATGAGGTAAGTTCATATTTTACTTTTGACAGAATTTTTTCAGTGTTACATTATTTCCATGCATTTGTTAGTAAAATAATTAATATAATGTTAATAAAATTTAGATTTTAATGCCCAAATTAAAGATTATTACTAGTATATATTATGGCTTTATTTTACTGTCTTCTACAGTTATATAATATATATTGTTAGTTAATATTATAAAACTTGTTGTTAATTTTGTCATTAAAGATATTAGATAAGCTATTAATAATAATTTTCATAAATTGGTTGTTTACATCAAGTTTATTCCTAAAGAGGGGAGGGAGTTTGTATTACAAAGGGGTAGGGTGTGTTTAGGGTTACATAACATTTCTTTTTGTTTTCCAACATTGTTGAAATCATTCCATTGAAATAACCTTAGTTGTTAAAAAGTGACCTTACATAAATAATTTAAAAAAAAGTCCTATTCCTGTTATTCAGTTTTATACTAGTCAATTAAAATATTAACAAGTTAAATACATTTTATATATAGTTAAAAAAATTATGATACATAAATTGTTGCAATAAATGGACTTTTTTTTTCATGAATCTGTTTATGAAAAAAGTATTCAAATATGACCTGTAGTATGTTTTAAAATCCAATTATATTGGCGCTGTTGACTCTTGCCAATGCGGCACAATGTACACGCCTGTCAAAAATTTTATCACCTGTGTGTTCTTTCTTCTCTCTCTCTCCAACCTTGCTAGGTGCAGTTAACATTGCCAACCAATTCTGATTTTATTTATCATATGTTTTAATATATAACACACATAAAATTAATACAAGTCATTATTGTAATTATTTAGGTGCTGTTGAAGTGTGTATTACTGGGAGAGGGGGGGGGGGTATTGAAAATTCTCCAAATTTGTGTTAAGTAATTTACGGATGGAACCAAAAAGCTTGAATTGTATTTTAGTTTGTTAAGGTTGTGTTTTTAATGAAATCAGTTCTGCAATAAAATAATTTCAAGTGATGTGCAGAATTTTAACTTTCTTTTTCCACTTACGTAAAGGAATATATGGCACACTCTCAAAAATACTTTATTGAAATGATCCTTAAAGTGGCCTGATTGTTTCTTTAAATTATGTACAGTGGCCAAAACACTTAATCAAATAGTGTAACAATCTTAAATTCTGTGTTTTACATTTTCTGTGCAATTTGGTACTTTTGAGGGGAGTTTTCTTTGTATTGTATTGCGCTGAGTATTGAAATTGGAAAAACTATGTAAATGTGTTATAAGTCATTCTAATTTCATATTATATATGAACTCGCACAATGACAATAAATAGTGCTGAACTTGTTCAGTGTCAAACTATAAACCCTAATTAATTTGTAAATTACAACTGGAGGCTTAAAACGATCTTTAATTACAGTTAAACATGACATTACCAGAAGTGGCTCAGTGCATCAAATGATGTCACTGCAGTGCCTCTGACCGGAAGGTTCTAGGTTTGATTCTCGACAGTGGGAAGTTTTTTGAAACTAGCTTGTCAAGTAGGTCAAAGTCAGTCACTGTCTAGAGGCTGGCCGCCCTGATTGGTAGATTTCCATGGCTTTTCCGATCAACACCAGGAAAATACCGGAGCAGTACCCTAACAAACGGGCCACGGACCATACTCAATCTTTCCTTCCTCTTCCTTGTACCATCCTCACCCCCTTACACTTACATGTACCTCTTTACCACACATGCCAGGAGACTGGTCGGGAGCCTAGTGCTTGTTCAGGCTGGGGCGATGCCCTGCTGCTTGATTGAGGGAATCATTAACAACCAACCAACCTAAAAATCAAATTACAGTAATTCACCTAATGCATCTTCTGTGAACAAGATAATGTAGACTTAACCAGAAATTTTGATATTTTAAAAATATTTTGCCACTACATTGTTACAGTGACATCTAATAATATCTAGTATTTTATCACAAGGAATGAGCCTGATGATGAATTACAAATAAATATTAAAGCCCATTTTAACTTATAGAAAATAAATATAATCAACAAGCTCTTCATTAATTTATTGAAGCAATTTTTAACTCATCTCAATTGCATTCCAACTATTTTGTTAACATAATTACTGTTCTCAGATAACTTTTATTACCAGATACTGTTTTCAGAAGCAGTTGAAACAAAATTCAAGCTATCTGTGCCTATTGACACAGAAACCTTTTCCCCCAAAAAGGGTAAAAGAACTAACATTATGTTTTCATTATATGTGTAATATTTTTCTTTTTATTCAGGATGATGCAAGTGGTTGCTCACTTCAGGAAAATATTACTCTTTTGGAGACATGTATGCAACAATTCTTTGAGCAGCAGTTGGATAGAGAACAATTACATACAGAAGGAGAAACTCCAGAACCAAAGAGAATGAAAACTGTACCATGTGACTCAAATGATGTCTGGGATCGAAGAACTTCAATATCTCATTATGAGACCTTCATTCAGAATGTGCCTACATATTCAGGGGACCAGTTGCAAAATTTTCTTGCCACCAAGAGAGCTAATTTCAAATCATTCTCATCCAACAATCCAGAACTGTCATCTGTTACATTTACAGTTGAAAAAGTTATCAATGCTCTTTGCCACCCTGATGTTATATCTGTAGCAAAGACAAAGCTTTGTCAAGAATTTTGTGGAAATAACTTGTGATTAAATACATTTAATTTCACCTGTGAATTGGGTTTTTATTCATCCACCGGTTTGTACTTAACATGGTTTGCCATTCTTTTTCTAATGAAAAATTAGAAACTGATAAGTCATTTGCCATGTTATTTAAAATTATGATTTTGAGATACATGCCTTGGAACTTTGTCTTTTGTTCTACTGAGGCCAGAGAAGATCTGGGTGTTGTGTTCATGTGTGTGAGAGACCTCTCCTCCCCACGTTGAACATGAACTTTCACTGAAAATGGATTTATTTTCAAACATTAAATCAGTAAACATTGTTTAAATATTGGGCCATGACTGTCATGAGGATCAATAAAATTAAATTGGTGGAATATAAATTAAATTTATGTAATCATGATTGACTTTTAACACTTTCGGACCTATGCTCGAACTAAGTTGATGGAGCCTAAATATAACTTGAGCATCGCATATACAAAGTTTTGACTCTTATAACAAGCAATGTTCAATCTTTGGTTATGTGGAAAAACATCACCAGACTCATCTTCTTCCACTTATGTATACAGGATGTTTTAGTCTACCACCACAGAAGCAAAATGTATATAAATACAGGGTTTTATCTCCTATATCTCTTCCATACAGAGTTCACTTCCATGCATTTCACCCCGTGAAAGGTCACAGTACGATCAGCAAAACATTGGCATCTCTACCTAGGATGTGATCCCTCGTGGACAGCCAAGTTTGCGGAAGCTTATGCTTTCTTGCATAAATTTTTTTTCAGTATTATATTTAATCAGTAGAATTTTTTTCAAAATAAATAAGGGTTGTATTCAAATTAATAATATGAATGTTTCATTAATCATCCCAAGTGTATATTTTCTCCCTTGGTTAAGCTAGTTTCAGTTTTATTTACCATGAATTTTGTATACATCTCTTTTATTATATTTCTAAAAATATTCTTCAAAACAGCCTGGATTGTTTACATAATGTGGTATTGAATGCTCAGGACTGTAAGCATTAAGTGACTTTTTTTGAGAACCCTCTTTTGCCCAAATTACCACTGAATTTGTCTTACAATTGTATTTCCGCTTTTGACAAGATATTATCCCAATAGCTTTTGTTCAGTCTAACCTCTCTTCAGTTCTCACTTATACTTGCAAAGAAATTGTTGGATTTCAAGTTAAAACCGTACTTCCCTCTTCGTTGAGTATTTTCTTTCTTTGCTTTTTCTCATGACTTGCAATAAATTTGGTTTGCCAGTAAATTTTCAACTCCACTACCTGTACAACAGGTTTCAATTATACTGTCAAATGTAAAGAGGGTTGTAAGTAGAAAACCATTGTTTGATGGTCTAGTCAATTATAATCTTCTAGGTACACACTGATCTTCAGAATCTGCTTTCTCTACAATTCCTATTTTTTTAAAATTATTTTCATGGCAGTAAATTTAATGTTTCTTGGCACTCATACATGTATCAGTGAAAATGAGATTTTAAACGCAACAAAACAAAGCTTGGTAGTTTTTCCCCCAACAAAGTATACCTGATGATTGATTTCTGGAGGGGGAAAAAAACAAACATAGGGAAATCAATAAAAACAATTGACTTTGTCTCAATCCTTAACATTGGCAGAAGAAAATGATGATGTGATGCAGTGAATAGTCGTAAGGTAAAGGTGTGGTTCTTAAATTTCCATGTGTAGTTATCAGCAAATAAGTCTTTGTAAACAGAGTAGCAACAATAATCACTTACAAAAACAAATAATTATTTTCTTTATTCATACATCATGTCTTAAGAATCTCTTGCTTTCTATATCAATGAAAATACAAAAACTCTAAGCAAATAGCTTAGGCAAAAAATAATGAAAAATTATCAGGATATTTTGAATAACAAAACTAAACCCAAGTGGAATATAAAACAAAACATCTAGAATAGAGAATTTCATTTTGTTGGATACTGACTGACAAATTATCCGGTAAAAGTCTACAGTTTCTTCAACCAACATTTTTTGATATTTGTGTTTGATCTCACAAAGGGCCTAAATCCAAAACATTTATGATATGTTTATTTCTGAAACATTTTCCTATGAAATCCTCAGAAGAGTCGATCAGCAAACAATAAATATTAGGCTGGTTTACATGAATTTCCAGATTGCTTACTATTAGATATTTTATGTACTTGCTTCATTACTAAGGAATATTTCCAGACATATTCAGAACCATTAAGCTTTTTTAAAGACAATGCAACAAAAGTGAAGTTCAGAATTATCAACTAATTTCTCTTAAGGATTGTCCATAACGTAACGCTAAAGAGGGGGGAGGGGGGTCTCAGGCATTATATAGGAAATAGGGGTATTAATGAAGTGTTATGTAACATTGATGTTTATTTATTTACATTTTTCAACATTTGCTGAAATTATTCCTTTTTTGAGACCTGTACTAAAACATTAAAATATTAACTAATAAATTTGTTTTTAAAAACATAAATAAACTAAAGTTATTAGTTGTAAATTGTGAAATTGATGAAAATATTTTTTAATCTAAGATCGCGAAGAAAATATTAAAAAATTATACGAAGTATATTCTAGAAGCCGTTTAAAATGGCACTGTAGACTCTCACTCTTACATCATCCACAAACGCGTTTGCATAGTTTCTCATCCAACATTTCTTGTCCAATTAACTCACAACTTGCCCTAATCTTATTGTAAGGTTCAACCAGCATTTTCTACTTTAATTATCATTAATTACTTTAATATACAACATGTAAAATAAATACAATTTTTTACTGTGCTGTAATTTATTTTCACTCCTTGCATGTACAGGTGTGTGTGTGTGGAAATTGTTGCAAGCATTACATAATTTTTTTGGGGGGGAGGGGGGGGTCAAGCACATGTAATGGGTGCAATACAAGGGGGCGAGGAGGTATTGAAAATACTGCAAATTTGCGTAACATAATTATGGATGGCCCCTTATGTCAGTTTTTTGAAAATATTCAAGGCTTTTTTTTAATACACAAATGAAAAAATTCTTAGGAAAAAATGAAGCATTACAGCTATATTTTCTATTCTTAAAGAAAATCAGTGAATCAAAATGAAAGGAATATTTTAAATTTTCCTAAACCATTAGACTTCATTCACCACAAAATTTTGTTCTCAAAGTTACATACTTATAGAATTGTGATATTCCTGAACCTTAAACATTAAACTTTGGGAATAAAAATACCAAACTAAGATGAAAACCATTTTCAAAAAGGAAACAAAACTTCATTTGATTGCAGAAGTTTTACATTGGTTTTCTTAATAACAATTTATAGTAAACTAAGAAAAATCAATTCAATGCAGTTTTCCCTTTCAAATAACCTATGTCATTGAAAATATTAAGAATATGCAATTGGAAAATTACAAAAATATAATTTTTTTAACTTGTTTCTCACATTGATAATATTTACATTAGCATCAATTTGTTCACATTATTGCATATGCTTCAAAAAAATGTCATTAAGTTTCTCAAAAACACAAAACGTTTCTGTGTAAATGAATTCAATATTCTGCATTTTCAGGCTTGTTTAAACGACATTTTCTTAAAAACTGCTCCAAACCTTTTCTTGAATCTTGTTTCAGATAATGCAAATAGCACTGTTTAAAGTGACATAAAACTTATTTTCCTGCATTGTTTTGTTTCTTTAAAAAATTCACAAATTTAATTTTTTTTATATCTCTTAATTATATTCATCATGTGTCAGTATCAATAGCTCATTGCATGAAATTAATATATAATGCTGCATGTTACTTTACAACTCTTTGCTAGATGACCTTGATTAAAAGTTTAAATGCCAGTAAAATCTTTTTTGCTTCATAACTTTCTGTACAGTTAAGACTAAATTGACCATCAAAACAATATTAATTACCATTTGTATTGTTTAATTCTGAAAGACAAAATATACCTGTAACAAGTGTAATACTTCAGCTCTGGTGCCAATGATTCCCAATGTTGCTCAGATTTTGTGTCGTTTTCCTTAATCCTTTGAGCAAATGCCGAGATGGCCTCTTGTTTTGTTTCTGGACATACATCTAGCTTCACTATGTGCATATTGAAAGCTATCCAACAGGTGGTGTTGGTTATTTTGTCAGCAATATTTCAAAATCAATCTGAAGTTTGTTAAATGATGCAAGTCAGTTTTCCATTACATGAGAGCAAACATTTCTAGTTTTCAAAGGTTGTTAACCATGCTTTGTTGGTACCTTTATTCTTCATTGAACTATGTATATTAAAAAGTAAATGGGGGTAGGAGTTCAGGAGCTCAAAAAAAGCATGTGAAAATTATACTTCGCTGCCATATGTCACATACAATTTTTACTGTTTTTTGATAAATAAATAAAATGGTTGCATGTAAGTGTGTTCTGGCTTTACCGAAATAAGAGAAATTATTTCCACATACTATTAGTTGCAGCTTTTCATGAGTAAAAATATTAATATTCAACACTCCAAAAAGCATTTTAGGTAATAAATATTCAAGATTTTTTGTTAGATATTTTACTTTTTTCACTGTTGACATAGTTTACATGTAAAACAATATCAGTCAATATTTATCAACATATATAACAAATTATAAATAGACATATAAAATGTATTTCTCGCATGGAAATGCAGATGCAAAGGCAGTATGAATAACTGCCTTAGGCCTATAAGAATAGATTAAAGAATAATTCTCAAATTTTGGCATATTGTAATGTGCATGGGGAATCCTGCTATACAATGTACTCATCAAAGATATTGATTGATCACAGATTTGTATTTATTCCATAAACAAGAGCATCTACTGTAGCGTGTACCAACAGATGCATTTCTTATTCAGCATCAGCTAATGCTATTACATTATTCAAATAAATTTGCCTCCTTTGAATAACGAAGGCTCTAAGCACAGAAAAAGAGCCAACTAAGAGGAGAGCAATAATTAGGAGAAACATTGTGTTCCAACCATACATTTCAGTAATGCAACCAACTAAAGGTCCTTCAAGTACTCCACCCAGACTGCCAAAGCCATTCACAAGACCAGCAACTGCTGCACCAGCATTGCGACCATCTTTTTCTCCAATTGCTACAGCAGCTGATCCTCCTAAGAGAGCATCTGGTCCACAAATACATGCCCCCGCAAGTAAGAGAAGAACAGCATTGTACGTAGTACCCCAAGTCGCGGTTAAAAGAAAGAAAATAAAGCACAGTGTGCTCCCAACAACAGCAAGCCACGTGTGGAAGAGTGAACTATGTTTGTCAGCAGCATATCCCAAAATCGCACTCCCAGCCATACCTCCTATATCGAACATTACTGATAAGATGCCAGTAACTGATGGAGACATGTTCAAAGCTTTCATAAGATACACAGGTAGCCAAAGATACATGCTATATCGTACTAACTTTAAACACATCATGGCTATAGCTAACTCAGACACCATAGGCATACGCCACAATTCCAGTATTGAGGGTTTGCTCTTGGTTCCCACACGTTCTGGTGCGACTGTCTTACCAGGTATTGTGAGCATGTAATCTTCAGGCATCTTGAGACAAAACCATGCTACGCACGATAAGCCTAGTACTGCTAACGATAATGGTAGGTAAACAAAGCGCCAGCCATAATAGTTGTAAAGATAAACAGCAATGGCAGTGGCTATCATACTTCCTCCATAAGCGGATGTAGACATAAAGCCAAAAACAGTATTTTGATTTTTATCAGGAAACCATGCTGCTAAACATTTGCAACATGCAGGCCATGCTGGTGCTTGTGTCACTCCACTTAAGAGCAAAAGTAAGAGAAATACTGGGTATGAACTCCAAGACCCAAAAAACATCATGCTCATGCCAGTAAGAGCTAGGCATGCTGTAACTGTTCGACGAGGACCAATGTTATCAGCAGCTGTACCAAAAGACATCTGAACTAAGGAGTATGGCAACATTACTGCTGTATCCATCCATCCTAACTGAGTTTTTGAGAAATTTAGTTCCTCCTCCATTCCCACTTTGATTACTCCTAATGGCTTTCTAATTAAATATGTGGCTGCATAGAACACCCATACACTCACAAAAATTAACACTTGGAGAACTTTCAGTCGAGCCATGGTGAAGGCTTGTGACAATACTCTCAGTAGAGAAGCCACCACTTTAATTTAAATTACAACTGATAAAAATAAAAAAATCACACCCACAAATTTTCACTGTGATTTTCCATACAATGCCATTAATACACCTTCAGTGACAATATCAGGAAGGCTACTCTTCCTTTCATATTCCAGAAATGGATCTTTCTTGTAAATGTAGATAGGTTGATGATTCAAGGCTTTTTCACCTACAGCTGTTCCTTCCTGTCTACAAAAACGGATGAAGGTTAAAAATGTAATGAACAAAAATAAATATCAATGAATGGCCCAAAGATGGAAAATGCACTACTTACTCCTCTGAAGTTCGGGTTTTAGTGATTCCAAGGAAAGCAAGAACTTGATCTCGACATGGACCAAATCGAAGCATGACCTGAAGGTACTGTTCCAGACACTGTCTACGACGTTCAAGCACTTTAGTTTGACAACTTCGAACTCTCTTTGGAGGAAATACTGGTGTGCTGTAGTTCTTGCGTAACTTTGAATGTAAAATGACATTATAAGAATACTAAAAATTGATTTCGAATTGTACTTGCATAATTTAGAACATAGTTTGAATGTCAGTGTAGCCAAAAGAAAATAAAGAATAATTATAAAGCAATACTAAATAGTACAAAGGGAAAAATAATAAAATTTATTCTTTATATTTTAAAGAATGGCAACTCACAATTCCTTACTTTCCCTTCAAAATATACAAACTGACAAAAATGAAATGTAAAACTATTCCAATAACATACCTCACGATGTAAGCAATGAAACGCGCTGTATCTCCTCTCGGCTTTGTAATGCTTACCACTATCGAAAATTTCTACAACATACACGTAGTGAGGTTTATCTGGCAGTTCATCCACCAAACGATATCGTGGAATATAAACGTGAATCATGTCATCTTCGTGTGTAAACGTGGGAGAAGTACTGACACGGTACAAATCAGTATGAAATGCAATTTACATTCAAGAAAAAAATGATAATTTTCCTCCATAAATGAGTCACTCTGTCACCCATTCTTGTGTGCTATTTAATTTATCTTGTATTTAAAGAAAACAAGATCGATTTACGTGACGTTTCCTGGGTTTAATTCGATACTTCAGTTTCTTATCGAAATAACTCCGGAGTTTTGGGAGTTTGTGTCACCTCGAACATACAGCACTATCGATCTTCTGCGCATGCGCAGAAGATTGATAGTGCTGATGCTAAAGCGTATAACAACTCCCTAACCTGCACACTTTAGCGGGCAGCAATCAACTGCTATCTCGATCTTTTGCAGATGCACAAAAGTGGTGCAAAACTCGAACTGAGCAAGCACAGGAAATCGTTAGTGCTTTCGATTGCTTTATTGTTCGAGGGTGTACAATGGCACAGACTTTCTCGAACTAGTTTTCTAATTTCTTTGGTCTGGACTGGCTTTTCCGTTTTCCCTCACCTTCTCAATTGCCCCACGGTCGGCACCCAAAGCCTGCAATATACTACACCGTTAGATGCGTTGCGAGAAATGTGCGACGAGAAATGAGGAAAGAGGCCAGTGAGGCTGCGTCCACACGCTAGTAATAGGTGATTCGATGTCTCAAAAATGCTGTATGTGCTACAAGTAGTGACAGCAGTGTTGGCTATGAGATCAGCTGCACGTCTCATTTCGTGTTTTATTAAATGCTCTTGCGTAATTTGAACCCGTTAAATCCTTGTTTTGATATCATAATCCTAAACCAACTGTTTAACGAGTTCGAAGTGCCTAAAGAGAAATATATTACAGCATTGCATACAAATGATTATACAATAAAAAAAAACAATAAAGAAAACAACAACAGAAGCTTATTTGACACATTATAGGGGAGAAGTAAAATCTGTGTAGTCTTCCGTCTATTGAAATTTTTGCAGAGCCTAGCGTAAGACGTGACCAACAATCACGTGACCACTAGCATGTGGAGTGTAACATTGCAATAGAGAAGCATTGCCGCTTCCACTAGAGTTGGATAAAATAGGCGTAGCGTGGGGGCAGAAGATAAGGGTTTCAATAGACCAGACTACAGATGTGGATGGAAGAAATCTAGCGAATGTGATTGTTGGCACGCTGAAAGAAGATCGGCCTGGAAATACGTTTCTCCTGACATATGAAGTGCTAGAGAAGACAAATCATTTCACCATCGCAAAACAAAGGGCATAATTTTAATGAAAGAACTCACTATGGAGAACAAATTTAATTTGAAGGAAAAATATCTATCATCAATTTTGTAGTTGTAGGAACACGAAACAAAAATTCAAAATTTTACCATTTTTGAAGATTCAGAGTTAACTGTGAAAATATTACCTATGCCAAGTTTATAAGTGTATGCTACTTTATTCATACAAGAAATTTAAAGAAAACAATTGGAGCCGTTTTTGAGAAAATTTTGAAAATGTTGTAACCGTATGCAGGACGCCAGTCCTATAGACTGCCAAAAGTAATTTTTTTGGGGGGGAGGGGGAAATGATGTTTATATAAATAAGTTGGAAGAAGAAACAAGTGACAACGTCAACGCGGAACCAAATAATATATTCTTGTTAAATAACAGGAGAACTTTGGATCTAGAAAACGAGTGTTAGAAAAATAAACAATTTTAAGAATCACCCGGAAGCAATTCAAAAAGGGAGGACAAAAATATAGAAGAAGAACTTAAAGAGGCAGGAAGATACTTACACGGAAAGACAATTAAATATGGGCAACTGATGTAAATAGCTTTCGAAATAAGTTGGAGTTTCGGCAAAGCAGGTGAACAAGAGAGCAATGAACTTTGGGGAATGCTGCGAATTAAAATACAACATTTTCAGAACCTCTGAAAAGTGCCAAATCAGAATAGAGGTAAAGAGAATATAAAATGTTCCATTAAGATCTCGGTGACAGAGGGAAGCGAGCGTTTTTTGGGTTTGTTTTATTATTGAAAAACAATCGAAAGACTGGACTGTCTGGAAAGGACACATAGATTGATGACAGATTACGAGCCGACATGTGCTAGCATGTACTGGCAAGTTATTGCGTTTTTGGGAGAGTGAATTGTTATCAGAGAAAAGGTGTATTGGGAGCGCTACGGCAACGCTATCACAGTCAGGGAAGTTAACGTCCTGCAAATATTACCCGCGTGTACAGAATAAAATTATAAGAAGTCCAAGTATTATATTATACGTGCACGTTTTCTTGAGTCCTGGAATATCTACCCCCATTCCTTGGCCAACATTGGTTGAATGAATAATAAGTTATAGAAACGAGCCTTGTAGGCAAAATTTGATAACCAGAAATGTTCGCTCCCGGGAAAGGAAACTATTTTGCATTGGGGAATTAACTACAAATATGACATAAAATATTTTTTGTCAAAATAACATAACTCCCACTCGTAACTAGCGAAACGATGGCTCAAGAAAACGTGCGCGGATAATAGATTTAGTAAAGCTTAGACAATGTACATGGCCATCAAAACAATAATGTGCACGGTATGAATGGGAATAGTGTAACTATTTTGTTACTAAGTGTGAATGTTAATTTTAGATTCTTTTGTTATTGTATAGAAGGTTTTGATGTTTTAGTGTAATGATTTTATCGGTAGCGCCACAGAGGAAAGTAGCGACGGCGAAGATTTACGCCGCAGTTGAAAAATGTCTTAAGTCTTTTTTTTTATTATTATTATTTTTTTAGATTAAGAAAGATAATTCCCCCCCCATTACCAATAAGATAATGATAAATATAATTTTTTCCTCTCCTGTACAGGAGGGTACTTCAGTCCCATAACCCAGTCCCATTTTCCCGTGGCAACGCCGCTCGTGCCGAAAATATTATTTTAAAATTTGTTAAACAGAGTTTGCGTCTTCGGTAATTACATAATAGATGTACGGAAATTATTCTAATATAGATAGAGGCACGACAGGACGGTCACAATGTCCGGGGGGTTTCATATAAAAAATTCCCAAATTTTAAAGAAAGATTTTCAAAATCGCGGCGCCTCGAGTGGAGCCATATCAACCGGTAAATATCCATTTTGGAAAAAAATGTATAGTTTAGGCGCTAGTGTTAACAGGCAGACATAGGGACGGACGTTTTGAAAATAACAACTTTTTCGTTATAGGGGACCCCAGAACGTGAAATTTCCGTTGAAATCTCGAAACCAATTTTCCGCGGCATTACATAACTTTCCTTATACGTGTATTACTCCATATTACTCAGTATATTACTCTGTATATACGTATGTATACGGGGAAGTAAAAATCGGTATCAGGGGATCCTAAAACGTATTTCTGATGAAATTTAGAAATAGTTTTTTCGCAGCATTACATAACTTTCACTATACAACGTGTATTACTCTGTAATACGTACGTACTAGAAAGTAAAACGGGCTGCGGGGGAAAATCGAAATTTTACAAGAGTTTTCAAACGCAGTCAAAAAGTTATAGAGTTGTCAATAAAAAAGAACAAAAACATTATTGGAAAAAATTATTTCCATTTTCCTATCAAAGAGCAAACAATTCGAAAATGCAGCAAGCAACGAAAACCATGACAAAAGTTCTCAGTTGCAAACAAACGAAACTTCTAATGAACATTTGTCAAACGAATTAAAACAGAGCAGATATTACACAATTGCGGGTTAATTTTTGTTACCCATGAAAATGTATTAACAATAAAAAGACGTACACTTCTGTCTAGAGTTCTAAGCCGTGAACGAAGATTTATAACAAAATTTCAAGTACATTTTTCGTCCGTCGTCAAACAGCAATTATTCAATATTTTACTCTTCATTTTACTATCATACAAAATATATTTTTATTCCCACCCCCTTATTTTGACAAGGGTTCTGGGTCGCAAACTAAGGAACTTTTGGGTCGTGAACTAAAGGAAGTTTGAATACACTTTTCTTATTCGACGACAAACACGGGATTTATTAATTTAGCGCATTTAGAACTATCCATATAAAAGAGTTAAAGAAAAACTTTGAGCTGATTTTGAGAAAATCTTGTTTTAATATTTCTTTTATTTCATGCAAAATTACGCATTACGCAAAAACCACTCACATTTTGAAAAATTTGTACAAAACTTCAATTAAATATTTAATTTTAAAGAATATATTTCATTCAGAGGGAAAAAACTCCATCTTCCATGTTGAAGTTGGAGGTAGACCGAAAAGAAATTGAACCTTTGCAATTTTTGAAACTTCATAGAACTTAACAGAAATTGGACCTGATACATTTTTATAAGTGTATTTCCCTCAACATGATGCAAATATTTATTGAAAAAAGTTGGATTCATTTTTAAAGAAATAATGGAAATGTCCTTGAGGCTTCTTGTAAAGTATTCCCCAAAATTTAAACCATTTCAAATTCAAGGGGCCATGACTTTAACCAGATCAATTAAGGAATATCAATTTTGATGAAAATCTAGCTTATGGTTTAGCCACGAGCGTTGTTCACCCACAGATGGATGGACAGATGTTTTGTCGCAAACCAATTTTTCGGTATCAAGTCTGACGGATTTTATCCCTTGAACTACCCGACAATTACTTTATTATCAATCTAATAACCTCCTTCGATATTTTATTTATTGATTTACCACTCAGTTTGTCCTATATACGAATCGAGGTCGATTCGTGATAATCTTTTTTAATGTTGTGGGTTAGACAAGACCTCTACAGATTCTCGATTCAGAAAGTTAATGTAATAATATTTACTCTTTTCTTTATATTCGGGATTTGGGAATTTTCCTTACCGATATTAATAACAACAATTGTTGTCTTTGTACATTATTAAAATTGTTTATATCCCTAGTAAGACCTTCCCTGTTCGAGTCCCCAGCGTTTTTGACCGCCGTTCTCGCGTCCATTGAAATTTCCATTTCAATCCAGTCCAATTCCAATCGTGGCAGCTCCTCTTTTCCACACACAGTTTTATGTCCCGTTTCACTTATATCATTTTTATCAATTAATAATTTTTACCATGGGTTTGTTTACGAAATCGGAGAGAACTCCCTCAACAACTAATCACCGCCGAGTAGTAAAACGTTCTCTCCTCTAATTCCCACCACCTCAAATACATTCTTCTTTCATTTGTAACTCGCGGTCCTCTTTTCCCGGTCTGCATCTCGAATTCTAGTGTGTCATGACGCACTACACAAGGGCGTACAAACCATGGATTCCAACAGCTAAAAATTTCAGAGAAAGTAATTTACGACATGTTGGAAAAATTTTTATCTACGTTTTCGGTATCAGGACCCTAGAATGAATGTTTTTCTGTCGAGAATCCGCCGTATTTTGCAGCAGCATTTCAAAAGTTTATCTAGACTTCGTAAGTTGTATGCCAGAAAGTAATAGGTTGAGTTCATGAATACATTATCTGCAAGCTGCAAAGGAAATAGTTTCGGAAGGTTTATCAGTTCATGCGGTTCCATTGCCTCCCCGAGCCGGACTTGACATCGCGATCTTCTCTAATCTGCAGGGCCAACCGTTTCAGAACTCAATGGCTTCTCAGGGTTCCTACCTCTATAGAGCGATTTTTGCAGGTATCAGCTGTTGACAGTTTATCCAATCGAGAGGGGGAAAATCACCACAGTTACGTCACTATGGTGACGTTCAAGCGCCCGATTTAATGAATCCGTCAACAGGGCGCTTGGGGCAGAGTTGCATGAATTGCAGTGTAGTAGCAGAATTAAGTATAGGCGTGGCCATAAAATGTCTATCCTTCTCAAAACTATTGCTATATACTAATAGATGGCAATATATATATATATATATATATATATATATATATATATATATACATGCATAAACTCGTGTTTTCACGCTCTTTATCGTGTATTAAATAATTTTGGTTGATTGATTGATGATTCCGAGCGCGTGAACGGCTAAGGCAATTAGTCCCGTAAGCATAGTGCATATTCTATCGCAGGAAGTGGCGGTCATCTTTCCCCGCTGGATGGCCAGACCTGGTGCCGTCCTAAGTACGTGTTGGCTAGCGCCACAACCAGGAATCTCCCACCAACGGGGTAGACCGCCCCAGCTGGGACAATCTCTAAGCTCCCCACTTGTGTGGTAGTACAGTGCATGTGAGTATAAACGTGTGTAAGTGTAGGGTGAGAAATGAACAAGGAAGAGAAAGGAGAGATCACATGCGGTCCGTGGCCAGTTTGGTTGGGTATTGATCCGGCATTCTCCTGGTATTGATCAGAGAAACCACAAAAAACAACTGCCGATCAGAGCACTCGGCCTCTAGAATTATTTTCCAGACAGCGGCTGAATTCGACCAAGCTAACAAGCTAGTACCTTCTACCGCCGGGACTCGAAACACAGGACCTCCCAGTTAGAAGAACTGAAGTGACATCAGTTGATGCCGTGAGCCACCTTAGCAGTTGAAATCTGATCATATTTTATGTTACTTACATTTTTCATTCCCCCCTCCCCTCATTGAACGCATCACGTAAACTTAGTCATCCCCCTAAATAATTATGTAATGCTTTTGTCAACCTCTATACGAGTACAGTAGAAACCCGGAAATCCAAACTAATTAGTGATGTTGTCTTTTCGGATTCGGAAATCTTCGGATTATCCGAAAAAACGAACCGTACAAACACATCTAAAGAATTACCAAATAATGCAACGTAGCATGCGATGTGAGAAAATGGCAAAGTAGCTTAGCGAGCTCATCATCACATCGCATCAAGCAGATTGAGTTCCTTAGTTTAAGAAGTGTAAAAGACGATTACACGTTCCATAGTTACCAGTGCAATAAATGTTTCATTTCGACAACTTGTGTTTCAATAATTAGTTGTTCATGTCTACACTAATTATAAAATCTTGTCTTTACACTACAAAATAAATATTTTATTTATTTTTCCTCCATCCCGAATTTTGTTCGGATTATCCGAAATTTCGGATATGCTGGGTTCGGATTAGCGAGGTTCTAAGTAAAAGTAAATTATACAAGGTACAGTAAAATAATTTGTGTTAATTTTATATATTTATATTTATAATAATTATAGGAGTTCAATATTTGATTTATAAATGAAAATTGAATGTTCAGGGGTCATCCTTACACGGTATTGACAGAGAATGTATCATTTTGTAACTTCTTCCACTTTCCTTTTTGTGAACTCACTGCTGTTAAAATTCAGCGATTCGAATAAAACCTAAAGGTTGTTACTATCAAAATTAGTTGGGGATGCTGACTGCACCCGACAATAAGAATGGAGAGAATTTTTGAGGGAACAAAGGACACACATAACTATAGTCCATAACGCCGTCAGGAATGAAGCATGGGCGAATGTCGCCCGTAATAATTAAATTTAATTCTAGAATCACTGGTGGATCTAGGGGGAGAAGTCATGGGGGTCATGCCCTCCGAAAGGCCTGGAGTTTTCGTTTACCTTCCTTTATTTGGCAAAATTGATTTAAACACTTATGTTCGAATTATGTAATTATTTAAACCATAATATTGTATAGTATCATATATACAGTACATAAATAAAATAAAATATAGTAACAAATATGTTTATTATTTAAAAATCTACGATGCCCCCTCCAAATGATTAACTGGATCCACCCCAGTCTAGAAAAACAAATTAATTTAAACTATTAATTAACTTTGAATATTTTCTTCGAAATTTAACAGATATAAGGTAGGTTCCAGAAAAAAATCATTTATAATAACTATGCATTCTTTATAGCTTTTTGATTTGTTTACGAATGTTTTTAAATCAATTTTTTTTCTTTAGTGTTTCTTGGTCACGAGACTGAAAAAAAGAAATTATTTCTCTAAATATAGAACGAAAAAAACTAAGACATATAATTGCAATTGTGATAACCATAATGTTATTTGTATTCGGTGGGTCAGTCCCAGAGAACATGACCTGGTCCGACGCTGGTTGGGTTCCAGAATCGAACTCAGTCGCGTGGTGTACGCGCTCGCGCCGGCTAGCCGCGGCTGCTTAAACTTAACCATTGAATCAGTTCCGGACTGTTCGAAGTCTAAGGACGTTGTTGATGCGTATTCAGCTTGTGTCTGTCGACTACAGTCAGTGCCAGTCAGTGGTGATCAGTAGTGAAAGAGTTTAGGTGCAAAAATAAGTTGAAGACATTTTCTTAAGTTCGTTGATATTTATTAGAAACGTTAAAGATAATGGCTGGCTTGGCGAAAAGTCTTACGAGGCAATTCTTCTGGGGCCGAGCATTTGCAAATGTACGTGTTTCTTATATCCTCAAGTCATTTTAATGTTGTATAAAAGGTTATGATTATTGAAATGTTACGTCTTATACACGTTGAATGTTGCTATTTGAGTTTGCAGTTTTATATGGCAATGCATTCTAAATTTTTGGGGAGAAAATAGTTCACAGGCAGGCAGCATTTTCGCATAGTTGAGTGGTTAACGTTGAAACTGCTAATTGATGGGATCACATTATTTAAGAAGTGTGAAAAGAAGTTTAGTGTACGCACGTTACGCAAATAAATCACTCTACAAATTTGTGGCGAATGTCGAATTAGAGGTAGTGTTGCAGCTTTTTTTTAATTTGATACGCAGACGTTTCATGTCAATTATTGCAATTCATTGTTGAGGTTATTTAATTTGCTTTCAATAATCCATTAAAAATATGTAGAATGTGCATTGTTATAATTCGACAATAATGAAGAAACAGTACAGTTGCTCAATCAGAAGGCAAACAATTGGTTATATCTGAGGCAAATTGTAATTCTTTTGTTCCATTTGTGAGTGAATTTTTTAGTGAACTAAAAATGTCAACCAAGAAATTTAATGGAAAGTTCGATGAGGTATACACAGGCAATTTTGCATATACATTGTTCAAAAACGCCGTAATTACTCTTTATGAATAAAAGTTCTTTCCTGTTCTTCTTTTTGCAACATCATTGAATGTCAAATAATTATTAATTTATAAAAGTTATAATGGGGCAGTTAGAATAATACACAATATAATTATTCTTGTAAGTAAAAATCAAGGATTTTGTAGTATTTATGTGTCAGCATGGGTTTTTTGATTGGATATTCTATTTTCTATTCAACTTCAGTCATTGGTGAAACATTTACAATGTTTTTTCCCTAAAAACATTTTATTGTCATAATTTTAGGATTTGTGTGTGTTTATGAACAATACTATGTATTGGGAAGTTGAGAATGTATTTTGTTGCACTTTTTTGGTATCTGCTGCTTTTAAGAGCATGGGTATAAATATGAGAATTCATTGAAAAATTCTAAATTATTATTTTTAAAGTGTTGTTATTTCATAGATTCAAACCCCTATTCTTAAGAGTGAACATCTCAGGGCACCTTTTATATTATCCAAACATGTTGAAATACAGTAAAATAAAATTAGGAAAAGGACATTATTCACTTTTTTTTTTAAAGTTATGATGTTTGAATATTGAGAGGTTTAGACCATTTCAAAAGATTAAAAAATATATATTTATGTGTATTTTTTTTTTTTCCAGCAACTGAACATTGGTCGAGAACTTAGTACAGGTAATTATATTAATTTACTATTCATTATTTTTAAGATGTTAAACACGTTAAAGAATTTTGGTGGGTAGAAAGAAGTGGACAAATTGCCTTTATAATTAATTTTTTTTTCAATATTTCATAAGCTGATATTAAAAATAATAATTGTTTTTGATAGTGGTATTGAAGGAAATACTGTAAAGTTTGGTGAAGATGGCAGTTTTGCATGCACTAGACTGTCATTTACTCTCAGAAATACACTAAAATTTATTAAAATATTTTCCGTCCTCAATTGTGATTGGAGAAGAAAACCATTTCCGGTAGAGATTAAAAGAACTCTTTATTGTGGCTACAACAGTCAGACGAGTAGGATTCCTGTACTGATAGAGGGATTATTCCTCATTTAGGAACATTAGATATGTTTACCAAACACAGGACCATCCCAATAGTTGTTACGTTCATAGTGATCTTTTCAATCTTATGAAGCGAGAAAACCTTTCAATAAATTATTTTCATGAAATTCAAAATTTAATCTTCTTCTATTGATATATGTGTATTACAAGTTGCAAATGTCTGTTAAGTATAACAAGGGGCTGAATAAATAAATATAAAGTAGTGAACTAACAATATCTATCAGTCATATTTTAAAATATTCCATACTTTCATCTCCAATTTCCATTAATAAATTGTAAGTAAGATATCAAATTAAAAATGTATAACACATTTTCAGTAATTTGTATTTTTTCTTCAATTCATATGTTAAGTGTATTTTGATTTTTTTATATAAATTTTTTTAAGTGTTTCAAATGGGGCAGGAAGGGGCAGAAATAATGGGAGGGGGTACCTTTGGGAAGGTGATTAAAATATTTGACACTGTTGATAAAATACATTCCTTTTCTAAGATTTGACTGTAATAAATTCACATCAAGTACTTCAGTTATAAATAAGGAATATAATGGATGTGAAATTGAGTAATGATTTATTTCTTTTTTTTTTAATTTTTTTTTTTTACGGATATTATGGTTGTAAAGTATACATTGTTTGAGAATAGTTGCTTGTTCTGTATGTGTTGCATTAATTGTGTTGAGTTAGCTATGCTCTTTTGTTGATGTGCAGCCAGGGGGAAGATTTTTTTGGGAGGCTTCTTACCCACAGAACATACATTATTAATATAGAGTCAAAGAAACTGAAATGGTGGAAAAAACTTGAATTTTTATATCATAGGACTCTTCATGGTATAAGCTTGTTGCTAGTTATTACTTTGTTTATTCTCCACTTAAACAATAATATAAGAATGTGGTATTTCAGGAACCAAGCTTTTGTCAGCAAGGGTGCAGGCTCCTGCTCCGGATTTCCGGGGAACTGCTGTGGTAGACCAGAGTTTTAAAGACATTAAACTTGCTGACTTCAAGGGAAAATATCTTGTGTTATTCTTCTACCCTCTTGATTTGTAAGTGTTAAGATGATTTCCAAAAGGATAAATGTGCAGTAATGGAACTTGGATTTTTTTTTGAAGAGTGAATTTGATCTGTTAATTTTGATTTTTTTTAGTACATTTGTATGCCCTACCGAAATTATTGCATTTCATGACAGACTTCAGGAATTTAAGGAATTAAATACAGAAGTTGTGGGCGTATCAACAGATTCTCATTTTAGTCACTTGGCTTGGATTAATACTCCACGGAAGGTATTATTATTTTTATTTAAAGGAAGTCTTAAAAAGAGATTTAAGAAAGGATTATTTTTGCATTCTCATCATACTTTCACAATTATTTACAGGTTGGTGGTCTAGGGGAGCTCAACTATCCTTTACTCTCAGATTTCCACAAAACCATCTCGAGGGATTATGGAGTTCTCGTTGAAGAAGAAGGTGTGGCTCTGAGAGGATTGTTCATTATAGATCCTAAAGTAGGTTGAGCTGAAATTAACTCCTTAGAAGTATTGATGTGTTCAATACTTGTTCTTCACAAGTTTTTCTTTACAACTTCCAGTGCATTTTTGCTCTCAGCATCTTAATGAAAAGATTTCTAATGGTTGTTTTACATTCCAGGGAATTCTTAGACAGATGACCGTGAATGATTTACCCGTTGGCCGCAGTGTGGACGAAACATTAAGGCTTATAAAAGCTTTCCAATTTGTTGAAAAACATGGAGAAGGTAATGTTACTGATGATGAAAGCAAAATTTGTCTATGATGTAATTATTAATTTGTGTTACAGTTATAACATATAAAAATTTCATTACAAAAGTCATGAAATAAAAAAATGTTTGCCATTTTTTTTTTTTAAAGTTCATCACGAATTGTCTCTTTACACATGCAAAAACATATTAATTTTCAGTAGATGGATTCTACATACAATTTTCACATAGTAGTTTGAGTGTGAAGTGCCTACTTAAAATGGTTGTCAAAAGAAAAATTACCATATATTTTTCATATTTTCTTTATTATCTTTGTGTGTTAGTTCTATTATGTAACATTCTATTACATTTTTACTGAGGGGAGGAGGAGAAAGGGGGAAGTCTGCTTCTCTACTACGAATTATGTTTCTGTAGTTTTCCGTTGTTGATTTTTGACCAAATAATGTTTCAGTTGGCTCCTAGGAGAATTAGTTTGTCAGAACACCGGATCGGGTTTGCAATCGATTTTAAAATTTTCAGTCTTTTTTGCATTCACTACCTTGGTGGTAAATGTGGATTTTCCTGGTTAATTTTGAATCTAAATGCTTTTCAAGGATCTCAATGTTTTCAATAAAGTTAAGCGATTTATCCCTGTGTTGCATGTTTAAAATTTTTAGGTTTTCCAGTTTTGAAAAACAGTATGCACTCTGTGTTCTGAGATGAGAATTTAAAGCCATTTTTTGTAACCACTTGGGCAGGTTTTCAGGGCTGATTGCATTATTGTGATTTTTACCCTTGTATAATAGTTAGTCATCACCATAATTCCAAGCAATGATGGGAGATTCAATATTTTGGTTAAAAATCATTTATTACAGGCACAAATAGCGATTTTTAAGATTGTTCCTTGCGGCACATCATTTTCAATTTTTGTGTCTTCTGATAATTGACCATTGACCTATGTTCTCATTCTGTGATCCTTAAGTAGAGCTTGGGAATTTCAACTATCTGCTGGTTATGAGTGGAGTGTGGCATTCTCTTGTTATTACCCTGACTACTTGCATAACACACAGAATATCAATTGTGGAATTCATTTGCAGTTTCACCATGTTAGTGTGCAATATGTGGGTATTTTTTCTGGTTTTACTTTTCAGGTTCGTGTGCATTTTTGAGAAATAATAACTATCAGATAAATGTATCCTACTGTCTAGCTGTTGTTGTTATTATTGGTAGTTTCCACAATTAAAGACAATATAAAAACAAAAAATTATCTCTGAGGTTTTTAGCCTAGCTCACAGATAAAAAATATTTGTCTGTTATAAATTCTTTGAACCACCTGTAATCAGGCTTGTTTGAATTTAGATGATGACCAGATTTTTCATGCAGTTATCAGCAATTGCCTCAAAAAAAATATTGCAGTTGAGTGGGAAGTGAATCAAAACTTTCTTCCAATGGAAATGCAATGCCCTTTCTGTGTGATAAGACTCGCTACTCGAACTGCAAATTATTCCCTTGGATTATTTTCATGGCAGCATAACAGCATGGGAAGTCATGGATGTTCAGGGTGGATGCCATATTGAATCATCATCATCATCATCATCATCATCATCATCATAATCATCACTTCAGGGAATAGGAAAGTCATCTGCGGCGGCGATGGTGTGACGGTTAGCGTGCTGGACTGTTATACCTAAGCTTACGGGTTCAAACCCGATCGAAGCCGTGGATTTTTAGGGCGACAAAATCCTTCGTACGCCTTCCTTCGGAGGGGAAGTAAAGCCGGCTGTCCCATGTTAGTAGATTTACTTGCATGTAAAAGATCCTCAAGCCTAAATGACGCCTCTGAGCTAAATTCAAAACGCCTGTTTCTCGCCCAAGAAATACCTCCTTTCTCTGCTAGTTGATGAAAGGAGCGTAGCAAAATTTGCGTGGTCAGACGGAAGAGCGGGCCTGATGGCCCGAGTCTCGCCACATAAAGTAAGGCAAATTCAATTCAATTCAATTCAATCTGTAAGGTCTTCAGCATGCCATCTTAATCTTTGGTGGCAGACCTTCACCGTTGGATCTGTAGCAATGTATTTATTTTTGGATGCAGTCACTACTCATTCTATGTAGATGTTGGGACCATCAGGTTTTGTATTCTGGTACTTTATTTACTAATATGAGTACTTTTCTTTCTTTTCTGATTATCTCACTTTTTATTTTGTCTAATATAATGCAGCCTTTAACTTGTCGCTAAAACCTCATCTTGGATGTTCTGGTAAAATATTTATTTTTCATGGTTCATGTCTCTCATCCATGAAGAAGTATGGGAATATCCAGTGTTTTATAAAATTTAAGTTGGGATAGACATGTCGAATGCAATTTTTTTTTGTCTTGCTGTGTGCAATAGTTTGAATAGTGCGCAACTGTTGTACTGTTTCATCAAAATAATGACGTTCACATTTAAGTAAACCGCTCCCTTCACTTTGTGAATCCTCTAACTGGGGTTTACCAACATTACTGGATTGTGCGTTACATCTGTAATAAATGTGCAAAAATCCATTTTATAACAATTTTGTTTTCTTCATGCATCTCTGTTCCTATGGTTGATGTTGCCCTTCCTATGGTTGCTACTTTTTGTTTGGTTGGTGACGCTAAGTGGTCTCAGACAAGTGAACATCGCACTCTGTTCATAAAAGATTGCTAGAATTTTATACATTTTTAACAAATTTGAATTTGTTCCGATTTTGAGAGTTCTCTATTCCCTATACCGATTTTTGGAGTTTCACAAGAATGTGAAGGGTCCAAAAGTAGGCTGTTTTTGGATTGAGGCAAATTTTCTGAGTCATGTAGGTTATTTGCAAATGCTTCCTGAATCATTTGCTTTGCATGAATGCTATTAACCCTGATAAAGTGAGACAGTGGAGCGACCATATCAAATCCAAATTGGGTATTCTTAATTATTTGTTTAAGTTCCATACCTCCCATTTAGCAAGAATGCATGATGAGTTATGCTAAATAACAATTGAAACTAATGTTTTCAGAACAATCCAATACTATAACACAATCCATCACATAAATTAAGAAATTCATTCAATTGACAGTACCTTGCAGGTTTGATAAATTTAGTGTTAGTGTACTTACCAGTATTCAAAACATTTGGTAGTTTTCTCTTCTTCCACTTTGATAAAATACAATTTATTTGTACCAGCTGTAGATGCAACAAATTTCATTTGGCTATTGTGTTACTCAATGTAATTGATTAAACATTCCAAATTGTTTGACAATGAATATAAGTTCAATTAATTGATCACGTATAAAATTTCAAGTCTTTCTACCTTCTCAGTGAATACTATTAGCTATTGTTCCAAATGAGAGCAACTTGACAGTCTTGACTAGGAGACATATTCACTTCTAAATACAAATTTTCACAGGTATAAATACTTAGAAATAATATTACTTTCTTGAATTCGTAAAGTAGAGTTTCGTAATGCTACAAATTTTTCAAAATGAGTATTCGGCGATTGATATTGTCTGACTCAAAGCTCTGGTAATTTGGAATGAATATTTCACATTTGGGAGTACTTAATATCTCTGATATTTTAAAAAAATTCTCAAAATTCGCTCCAAGTTTGTTTTGTAAAATTGTTTGTCAAACAGAGCAGGGTAAGCTTATAAAAATGGGTCAGGTGTAATATTCCTTAAAACCTCAGCTTTTTGGAAAATTTTAAACGTTTAAAATTTTTGAACCCCCTCATACATCTACATTATTTAAGATCATGATTTTCTTCTGATGGAAATGTGTTCTTGAAAACTAGATCTTTAGTTAATGTCACTTACAATATGTTTAGTAGTATTCACATACTTTTTAGTGAAATCAGAACAATACAAAAAACAACAACAACAAAAACTAGAGGTGCTGCAACATTTACTTTTTTGCATTATTTGTAACTTGTGCAATTTTGGAAAATTCAGACATGTCAATGAAAGTGCAACTCGCACCATTTTTATGAGCACAATTGGAACTTTCCATGCAAAAAGGTTACAAATTGCAGCCATGGATCCATTGTTTTGAGGAACAATGGGTCATGTCATTGGCATGTTTAAATCCTGTTTATCATTCAATCAACATACTTTTTATGTTGTACTGGGGGTCTGTGTTAGATCGATGAATAGAATGATTTTCAAGTGTCAGATTTCACCTTTGCACTACTTATTCTTAAAGCTGGCACCAAATTCATCCTCATATTTTCAAGACTACTGGCAAATGAATTCAAATCGCAATCTTTCTCCCCAGTTCTCGCGAGCTTTTTGTTGAGAGTTATTTTTACCTAACAAGACTCTCTTGCTGCTGTAGCACTGTTTGTTGGGTCCAGGATAGTAATTGCTGTCTCATCCAAGATTATGTTCCAGTAAACATGTTTTTGGTACCAATGGGAAGGAAATTTATTATTACTACATTTATAAACTACATACAAATGTCTTGTCATGCTATTGTAAAGATTGAAGTTTTGAATTGCAGTTTTTGTTAATCTGGTTTTTACTATTAAAAATATTAATTTTTCTGCATCAGGTAAATGAAAGGAAACTCTGAACCAGATATAAGTTGAGTTTTAAATTTGCTTGTAGTATCAATATATTTTTCCTTACTCAATCCTACCTAATTTTTTTTATGAGCTTAAATCTTTTTAGACTTGCAAGACAGGTTTCTTTGGACAGATTGCTACTAAGGATATTTCTCTTGGAAAAGCATAATTTTACGTCTTCGTAAATCTTGAAAATTTTGTTTTGTAGCATGTTGCTAACTGGCATTTTCATTGAGAAATACAGTTGGCATTGGTAACATAGTGTATTTTTAAATTTTGCAATTATTGCAACTTAGTGTGATGCACAAACAAGATAAAAATAATAATGTCAATTTATTTGTGGAATTCTCTGTAAAAAGTTCTAAGTAAAAGCCATAATTTTTATATTTTTATTTCAATATCAAAACTTGAAAAATAACATTTCTTGTTACAATAAGTATGATTATATGCAGTTGTAATCTTTTGGCAATTACATGTTTTTTCAGTGTGCCCAGCCAATTGGAAACCAGACACACCTACAATTCAACCTGACCCTGTTGGTTCTTTAAAATATTTTGAAAGTGTGAATAAATGAACTTATTGTATGAAAATGAATTTATTGTATTAGACCATAATGAGCAGTTGATGACATTTTGCATTGTGAAGAAATGCAACAATGAAATATTTCTGATTATTCTCTTCTGTATAGTCAAATTTTCTGCTGTGGCATGTTGCAGAATATCTTTCTGTTATTATGCAACATCATAAATGATAAAAATAAAGATTTTGTTAAAATATATTTTTTATGATTGTTAAAACTGTTTTTAGTGCATATTTTTGTTTGAGGAGTTAGGAATTTAAAACGTAGGTTCTCTAAGATAAATGGTAAAAAATAATTTTCTGTTTATACAGATGAGGAATGTGTTATTGTTTTGTAATTTGATATAATGTTAATGGTGTTACGGAGGAAATAAATTGCTTTGAAATGAGCCAAGGTCTTTTAGCATTATTTGGTTTGAACCATTATCATTACCTTGCTCACTCATTAATTCACTAAAAGCCCTGTTGTTAAGGTCAACTAAAAACTGGAAAATGCTTGAGGTGAAGGGAATTAAAATTAGAAACCAGCTATGCAGTGGAACATTCAAAAGTTGAGTGGCTGAGATAAGGTGTAGCACCCTTGAAGATATCGCTGACTACTATCAAAGTTGATGGTATTAATGTTCTTGTTGATAACTAGTTTTCAGATTTTTGGGCTATAAATTCTTGCGTTTAAATGCGTAATAGGGGGGAATAGATGTTATAATTTTTTAAACGACTATAAATCGGAAAGAAAATTATTTTTTTGTATTTAATTTTATTTCCAACTATTTTATTACAGATTTATTTGTATGAAATATTTTCGAAAATGTTAAGATGCAAATAGTGAAACACAATTATTGCTAATAGAGATTTACCGAGGTACAGTGGTTTGCCAAGTTATTATGCTCTCAAAGAATACATTTTTTGAGTTTTGTACAAAAGAAAAATATTTCTGATAAATATTTTTTCATTATTTTGTTTTCTTCTATATGTGAATATATATGCATAATTTCTGACAAATATGTAAGACATACATTTCTTAAACTGCAATCTCCTTTAAAACAGTATTATTTTGTGAAACCATCCTTAGCTGGAGAAAGTGCAAAAATCTTTCTTGGCATTTTTGAAATTCATTTTCTTGTTAATTCTTCGAGGAACGGCTATTCCAATTCTTATTTTCTATTTTTTTAAAGATATTCATACAAAAAATTAGCTTTCTATGCTTTGTTTAGAAAATTTTAGAAAAAGTGTATCTATAAGAATCAGTTAGAGAGATGACTGTGGGGAAAATGGTTTTAATTACACATCACTTAAACGAATAGACACGTTCATTAGAATTGTTACAAAAACACATTAACACAAAAACAACATAGAAAGAAACCAATCTTCATCAACTATTAACCGTTATATTCTGCTCGTGGTTTTGCTGCGCACATACTGCCGACAATTTCTAGATGCCGGCCCTTGTCTAAAAGTTCTCCTCTACCATCTGTCTTCTCAGCAGTAAACCGTGTTGAATTAAAAAAAAACAGATGGGTAGAAACCTTCAAAAAAAGACCATGTGGCCCATACCTCATGGTAATGTGAGATTCTTACTCACTGAAACCACCTCCCTAGACTTCTTCACCCCTTCGGAACATTAGGCACTACATCGCGGGTGTGTATAGGGGAAATGCCCCCAAGCCTTTTGGCATCATTCTAGGACGCCACTCTCGCCCGCTTCTCGAGTCTTGACTTCTTTAGTATTTGGGCCGTGAAGGCCGCCGACCATTCCTTTGATTATTCTCCATGCGGTACAACAGCGTTCTTCCTGTAAAGTATATGATTATAATTTTAATCATATACTGAGAGACTCTCATATCCTGCAGAGCTTTTAGAATGCAGTTCCATATCGCCGAATTGAAATCGTTCTTAACATCTAAGGGTGAGAAGGCTTCCAGCACCGCTCTTCCTCTGTGGTTTATCATTGGGCTGCCCCATTCAGTTGCCCAGGCATTAAAGTCACCTGCGAATATAACTGGGCTGCGTCACTCGGCATCACTTACCAGTCAGTCGAGGAAGCCTTCGAATTCTTCGATAGGCTAATTTGGTGATGCTTAGCAACTAGATATAACTGCGCAGTGTATTTTAGCCCACTGGCATCCATTCTGCTTCGTCTGTTGCCACTTTCTGCTGAAACCGGCCTTTCCCGCAGGTCCATATGTGTGCGATTCTCGTGGTGTCGGCCATCCATGAAGATATATAGCGAATTCGCGGAATTGTTCACACCAAGTTCCCGTACCAACATCCACATGAAGTTCCCGTACCGGCTGTGATAGCTATTCTTCCACATGACTGACTTGTTGGTCGATCCCCCAATTGATCGGCTTGCTGGATCGATTCCCTTCTTGATCGACTTGCAAGGTCGATCCCCCATATGATCGACTTGCAGATTCGATCCTCCACTTGATCGATTGCTGAGTCTATCCCCGACTTGATGGACTTGCTGAGTCGATCCCCCACTATCGACTTGCTGAGTCGATCCCCCACTATCGACTTGCTGAGTCGATCCCCCACTTGATCGACTTGCAGAGTCGATCCCCTACTTGATCGACTTGCTGAGTTGATCCCCCGCATTATCTACTTTCTGAGTCGATCCCCCAATTGATCGACTTGCTGGGTCGATCCCCTACTTGATCGACTTGCAATGTCGATACCCCACTCTATCGACTTGCTGAGTCAATCCCCCACTTGATCGAATTGCTGGGTCGATCCCCACTCGATGGACTTGCTGGGTCCATCCCTCAGTTGATCGACTTGCTAGGTCGATCTCTCACTTTATCGTTTTGCTTGGCTACTCGTCCAATTGATTGACTTGCTGGGTCGATCCCCCACTTGATCGACTTGCTGGGTGGATCCCTCACTTGATCGACTTGCTGGGTGGATCCCTCACTTGATCGACTTGCTGGGTCGATCCCCCACTTGATCGACTTGCTGGGTCGATCCCTCACTTGATCGACTTGTTGGGTTGATCTCTCACTTGTTTGACTTGCCATGTCCACACCATCTTATGTATGGGCATACCAGCCCTGAGGAAGACCACGACAAAATGGTCGAAACGTCGGCAAAACAGCCTTCGACGCGACGTCACCCAGACAGCCAAGATAATGCATTTTTTAAAAATTTGTCCGAAAGTAGGAAAACATTTTAAAATTAGCTTCGGCTATTTTACTTGTGAAAAGAGATTCACCAGATGAACTCTTTAAAGCAGATAAACGTCATTTTGAGATCAAAAATCGAGTTGTAGGATAAGAGCTCGTGCGTATACTCAGCTCATTTTTTACGGTATTTGACAACGGAAGATCTTAGACCAAGGTGGAGTGATAACAGAAGACCTTAGAAGTAAAATAAATCTAAAATAAGATGTGAGGAGATGGAATAATGCTGATATTTACGCAATTAGTTCCTTTTTTTTAAAAATACTTAAAAATCGGAATCAATATTTTGAGTAATGCATCAAAAAATTTTAAAATGGTATTTGAAGGAAGACGAAAATATGTGAAAAAGATAGATTACAGACCGTTTACCTCTGTCTGTAATAGTAGTATAGAATCTCAAGTTTGATATCCGTGGAAAAATAGATTGAGATGCAAAGTGACGAACGCATAAACCGAGTGTATAACTTGCGTGTCCCTCAAGTACCGCCTCCTCCATCGGGGCGGGCCGCACGACGCAGGGCCTGGCCGTGCCACCGCGCTAACAGAGGGCCTACAACGGGTGGGTGGGTGACGCAACGGCGCAGAAGGGGAAGGGGGGTTGTGGTGTTTAAGCAAATTTCACTTTACGACGCTCCTATTCGTTCGGTTTGCATGATTGTCACGGCGTTGGATTCAGGAAGCATGTCGCCATCGCGCTATAAGGCCACATTTTTAAATTTGTTCTCGGAAGTTTGAGAACTAATTTCAAATTCGCATTTTTGCTAGATTTTTGGAAAAAGGTCATCGTAGCGTAAATTGTATTTTAAAAAGGCGCCAAATGCCTTTTACAAGTCGAAAATCGGACCATTGGTTCAAACGTTATCAGTAAAGTAAATTCCCCTGTGATAGTGCTGCGATATATTGAATTTTCCTACAAGTATTTTTCGGTGCATTTAGCCTTAAATAAACTCAAGGACTTCTAAGTTTTAAACCGATATTTTGATTCTGGGCGTACTTACACGGAACCTCAACAACATTTTTAATATTTTTTCTGAAAAGCTCCAATTTTTTATTGAACGTTGCCCTCGGATAGCATAATGGCTAGCTGAAAAGAACTGTGCAGGTCTCATGTTCGTTGATATACCTTATTTCTCGAAAATTGCAAAAGTGCACTTTTTTGGGGTCTTCCTACAATATTGAAGATAGAAATTTTTTATTCAATGAAATGTGTTGTTTTGAGACATATTAAAATAAGGCCATGTAGAACTTTTCGTATATGAGCAGTTTTTGTGCAATTTTTCGTGAAAATAATCATTTTCATTTTTTTTTAAACGGCTTCAAAAGTTTTCTTTAAATTTTCTCCTTATATCTATCCAGAGATGCTAGAAAAAGTGGTGCTGTTCTTATTTCCTGCAAACTCTCTGAAGTTTCGAAAATTTCAAAAATTAAGCATTTCTAAACTACAAAGTTGAAGATAGTAATTTTTATCTTAAAAACAATGTTCTAAAAATCAACCCTTAAAAATGTTCCTGTACATAAAAAATGTGTTGTTCTCATATAGCTTGTGCTTCTGTCAATCGATTTTACAGTAGCAGAGCATATTAATTCTGGCTACCACACATGTTAGAAAAAAGTGTATATAAGAATATGATTTCTCAACTTTTTCGTTAACTGGCCCGACAATAAGACTTTTTCAGTCGAAAAAAAAAAACGCAACAGAGTAGTTCAAATGGCATTATCTTACAGAATATATTCTCATTTATAAGGAACTATTGTACGCGAAATAAATATTTGTCACGTAATGCAATTATCAGTGAGAAACTATAATATCTTAAAAAAGAAGGGAAAATGATCCATCAAACAGTGAACACAACCTGAATCCAAGGAGCATTCAGAATGTGTTGCATTCAACATGTAAGGAGCTGAAACTAATGTTACATAAATTGGTATTGAGAAAATAGTTAGTCATATACCAAATTTGACCAGACTAAGAAAGTATATGGGTTCCATGCGAACTCAGCACGACATGAAACCCGAACATCTCAGATTTTTAAAAACTATTATTACTTTTTTAAATTTGTTGTGGAGAATCGATATCCAAAGTTTCAGCCCTCTACGATAATTATTTTCTGTTTTACAAGTGTTATATTTTTTTAATGGATAAGGTGTGATTTTAGACATACCTAACTTGTTTTACACATTATAACTCAATTTCTCGCACAAAATGCACCAAAATATATGTTTTCTGTATGGAAATTTACC